GTGGAAGGGAGAAGTAAGGTGCAGTTGGATATCGATCACAGGACTGATAAATTGAAAATATTTTATGGTTTTTCCAATGCGAAAAAAATAAATAAATAAAAGATTCAAAAACAGAAATTAAACTATTCCAAAATATATCGTTTCATTTTTGATACATATCTCACAGAGACAATTAAACTTGATACATAAAAACAAAATTTAATATTCTAAGAAATAGAAATTGTGAACAGACATTCATGCATAGCTGCCAACATGGATAGGTAAAAATCCAATAGATTTTACGAAATAATATAAATTTCATGATAATTGTTGCATAATGTACTTCACACATAGGGAATTTTACGGATTTTTATAGTCATCAAAATAAAAAAAAGTGCAATACTTTCCGGTTATGATTGACATTAAACATACTTGAAATGTTATGCATTATGTTTACTCATAATTTCGAATGTTAATAAGCATTTAATTCACCATAAGATAACATAGTAAAAATAAGATAGTATATAATATAGTAAAAAAATATATTTTTAAAATTAATTTAAAATGAGAGTTCTGAACTGATTTCTATAATAAGAATAGCTAAAATAGATCCTATTAGTAATATTTATTTAAATATTCAAGCAAACAAGTAATAATCTGTTCAGAAATTCTATTTTAATAGGCACTGATTTTTTTGTTAGGAAACTCACTCTTAGGGAATTTTCTAAAACGTACAAAAACCCGGAGAATTTTAATTTAACTTGTAGACCAGGAGAAACTGGCGAAATCCAGCAGTCTACTGGAAAATCTAGCAGAGTTGGCAGCTATGTTTATGATTTATGAATAAATTGGTAGAAAACATTAATTATTTTTGATGCCGCAGATATTTCGAACCTATTTAGAAAACTTTTTCAATTGAAACGAAGTATTCACGTATTTGACGTAACTTTTTAGGGTGAAATAGTTAAAAATTTTTTTATTGTGTTTATTAAATTTCTCGTGGTGTTTTTAATTACTTTGTTTAAAGAAATAAACTTTAAAAGTAAAATCATCAACGAACATTAATATATTTTGAAAAAATATTTCTTTCTTTCTCACTCATAAACATTTATGTAAGGAATTAATTTAATGAAAATTAGCGAAACAGAATCTAATTTATTTCTTTTTAACTATATTATATCTTTATGAACTTAAAATTTAATTTCTCCATGCACCATCAATATTTTATACAGCAATGAGATTAAAATTAAAGCTTAGCCTCGCATAAAAGGCGATGAAACAGTAAATCTTTTATTTTCTTTGGCAAAAAAGCTTTGAAAAATACTTTTAAGTAAAAACATTTAGTTAAAAATAAATTTATCACATCATTTCAAAATGCTTTCAATATTTTTTATAATGCCAAACATCAGATTTATTATTGTTAAATTCAGTAGAGTATATTTATTAATGAATTACAGCATTTTTATGCTTTTCTTTATTTTTCTTCAAAATTCGCTCTTATATAATCTTCAATTTTTTACAGTTACTAATTTGTTTTATTAGTACCTAAAATTTGAAATAAAATATGAACGATAATTTCATTAATATTATTTATATTGAATCTTATAACTCTAATTATCATCTTTTACAAAAATTTCGAGCAGTTTTTGAGCTATTTTTCTTCTTTCCAATGAGTAGTTCATATTATTTAGATTACTTTTTTTTTCGTTCCAAGTACAAAATCCAATTACTACGTATAGGTAATTTCTAATATTCATTGAATGAAAATATTATTTGATACATAAATAAATATAATGTATAATTAATACATAATTCACAGATTGAAAATTCAAACATCATTTTATAAAAAAGAAGCATTAATTTTCATTCTAATATATTATCTTGTTTATAATAACTAAAATTAATAACTAAATAGCATTTCTGAGAAATTATAATTGGTTAGTATTAACTACACAACGAACTGCAGAGACAATGTTTAAAACAAGCATAAGTAGTTAAATAATAGATGTCGCCAATTAAGAGAGAAAAAGTTTCCCCTCTTTACGAAGAAAAACACTTCGAATTACAAGTATAATTGGTTATTTTTCTTATCGAAGTCGTCAACTGTTTCCGGCCACTTTCAGAAAGTGAAAAACTCTGAGACGGTACACAGATTTCCGACTGAAATACCCCTATACTCATGTGCTTTTACAGATGTTGGGAATTAGAGCAGAACGGAACACATATTTCACGCAATAAAACTCGTACTACTGACCAGATGGTCTGTGTTGTTGATAGAAAATGAAAGCAGTTTAAGGCGTGCGGTACCTTTTTACAAGCTGCTGTTTTGATTTATCGCCAATTATTTTGGAATGCTACTTTCTTTCGACTTCTAAACCTATTTTTTGTTTCGAAACATAAGATTGTGTGATCGTTCCCTTTGTTACGATGCTAAAGTATATACAATGCAATATACACTATACATGAAAGGAAAAAAAAAAAGAATAGAAGATATTCTTCTAATGTTGAAGTATTAATTAGCTTTACATTTTTAAGGAAATATATTTAAAAACATATAAAATTTTATAAAAAAATTGCAGTAAAATTCTGTACTTTAAATAAGTTTTGTTTAAGAATAACTTTTAAAAATCAATGATAAAATTGATAATTCAAAAAGAATCAAGAAAAAGAGAAAAAAAAAAAAACGAATTGAAAATTGTTTGCTCAAAAATCGTCATTTTTAAAAACCAAGCAAGACATCTTTTAAAATGGGGCATATAAAAAATTTATATGCTTGCAATATGACAGAAATTCGAAAATTTATTTAAAAATATTTATCATTGAAAAAGTGAAATTGAAGTTTGTTTATGTTAAAAAAATCAGCAAAACATAACAGCAATGCGTTATTAAAATGCATGTAAAATATGAAAGATTCTTTTAAAAAATGCTTTTCAAAATATCCCCCCCCCCAAATATAAGAGAAAGAATGTGATTTTAAAATAACATAGAGCAATATTAGATTAATAACAGGTTTTTAATACCACAGAACGGTTTTAATAAACAACCTGCAAGTTCAACTCTAAATCTCAGGAAATAACGAATTTCAAAAAAGCAAACGATATTTTTCGTTTTTTCCCATAATTTATTTTAGAATTTAAATAAAAAAGGTGGCAGACAATTCAACTCGGATACACACATTAAACATAATGTAAGAAATCGCATTACGTTATTCTGAAAAATAATATTACAAACATAATAATTATTTCTTCAAATCAATCATGATGCGATGCCAAAACCTATGACGTACAAGTTTGTTTGGTTATTCTAACTATATTAAGGAAAGTCAACATTATCTCCATATCGAAAACAAACATTAGCTAAGGTAAGTATCACCATTCAATGATATGAACACGAAGGTCAACTACTTGTTTTTGAATAAACTTATCTCTTATTGTTCTAAGATTATAAGTCAAAATCACGCCATTTCTGAGAAATTGAAGAATGAATGTCGAGTGTTTTCGCCACAACCTCTTGATTTATTCAAGTATAATATAAATAAATTACAGCATAACATATATTCTCTTCTTTTTATGAGACAGGATTATTTGATTAAAATTAAACTACAAAAAACAACTAATTCTCAAAAACCGGGATGAAACGGAAATGCTTCATCCCAGATAATGAAGTATATACAAATTTCGATTAAAAAAAAATTAATGCTATATTTAAATTAACGATTACTATTTTTAGCTTTTGTAGAAAAACAATACAAAAAAAGGTAGTTTGATTCACTGTTTTGCGAACGATGAAATTATGAATGTCTGCTTTTATTTTTCATTCACTAGGTATTCAGCGAATTTTACTGCGCTAATTTCTCAGTAACATTTTTAAGCAGGTGTGCTATCACATTCCATGATTGCAACTTTTTTTTTTTTAGGTCATCTCGGATAATCCGTTTAATTGATGAGAGACGGCTGTATTAAAGAATCATGTTGGAGATAAAAACAGAATTAGAATTATCAAGCGTGATTCGCAAAACATTTTCTATAAGTTTTAGATAAATGTTTTTTACATAACTCAAAATAATTCTTATTCAATTCTGATTTTTTTTTTTTNTTTTTTTTTTTTTTTTTTTTTTTTTTTTTTTTTTTTTTTTTTTTACATTATCGCAAAAATTAAGGCATAAATGAACTTTTTCGAATATCAAACTTCAAATCCATTTTGAAGGAAATCTTTCGACAACCATATTCTTAAATTAATCGTAATTTATTAATTTAAAAATTTATCATAGCAAACAATAGATTTCTGACAGATTATGCCTACATTTGCAATTAAGTTATTTTAAGAATATATTTCTGTTTGCTATAAATTCATGTAAGAATTTTAATTTTAGAATTTCTCTCTTGTAAGTAGTTTTCAAAAATAGTGCTCTAAAAATCTTTATAAAGCCTTTACTTTATTTGAAAATCTTTTCTTTATAATATAAAATTTAGTAGCAAAAATGGAATATTGTTTGATAAATAATGACTTTATTGTTTACTTCAATTGCAAACTATATCACACATAAAAAGGTTTATGTATTCTTTCCTAAGAAGATTCTAAATCGTAAGGAATATCAGAAGTATATATATAGATATATATATAAGGATGATGTTTAAATTGAATGAGGTATACAAGAAAATGTAAGCAATATTTTTCTTTTCATGTAAAAAACGCATATATGTAGGAAAAATGCACGTGAAAAAAACATTTTTTTATCTATTTCTGCATTTAGCAACATTTAAAAAGCGTGTGAAAATTCTGTCTATTAGAATAACCAACGGTAATGAGGAAAGATTTTACAATTTATTCATCACTATTTTCTTCCATCTCCTACATAATTAAAAATTATACAGAAAACAGCGATTCATACTTAATACACTTACAAAAATACAATTTCATTTCCCTCAGCATTAGCCAACAAAAAATAATAAATAAATGAATTCCATCGAATATATTCTTCAGCATCATGCAGATCAATAAAGAGAAGATCAAAATCTCACCTTTTTGGCTGACACAGCTAGGAGGACGACGCCAAGGATGGACAAAACCAGTAGGAGCCTCATGCTTGGTTTCTCTCTGTTTTCACACGTCTGCCGACCCAAGAATTTTTCTCACAGATGGTAAACTGTCACTTGTGGAGATTGAAATAGGAGAATAAAATTGAAGTGGTCATGGAGATAAAGAGAGTGAAGCGGGAACTCCCTTTCGAAAAGGAAATGACGCCAAGTACGTCACAGAGATCCGGGGATTTGCCATTGGCTCAGGCTACCTGTTGAACAGCACGCCACCGCTATCAGACCATCCACCCCCCTCTTGGCTCCAATGATTTCGAGGAACGTTTCAAAAGGGACTGTTCATTCATAGAAAAAATGACATGAGCTTGAACTTACAAATAGGACATTTTTTCCGTTGCATTTAATACATATTTTCGTTCGAAAGGTAGTGTTCGAAATTATTATTCAATTCGGAGGGTGCAGGGAGGAAGGACGCAGGAAAACGATCGTATAAATGCTGGGTGTACTGCATTATTTGTATCGTTTTCATACCATGTAAATTAACTTTCTTCTGTGGTATTATTTATTATTATACGTGCTATAGTGTCATAACTAAGTGGAATACTGCTAGAGTTCTTTTTATTTCAGAACTTAATATACAACTCACTAAACAGAAAAGAAAGAAATCTAATTCTCTACGTTAAACAAACTATTTATAAAAAAAAAAATTATTTAAAAAGAAATCATGGATTGTGCCTAGCTGGAGCAGAATTTCGAGCTACAGTTCGAATCATTTTATTTTTTTTTAAGTATGCTCTCAGCTCCATTTTAATAAAATTTATAATACCGAATTATAATAATTATTAATTTAATTACGTCGCATTGCATTGCACAGTCACTGTAGTCATAAATTTTAACTGTTTCAAAAGCCTCAGTTAGATACAAATAGGAATGAAGATATTTAAAAGCCTTTTTCCCAGGTTTGTGATCAAGTTTATTGTAATGCAATTTTTTAAATAACGGAAATTATTTTTCTAGCTTCACGCCCACTCACATTCCTGTAGCTCTCAAATCACTTATATCTTTTAAATTCTTACAGCAGTTTTTCTTGAAAAATTCTTTTGAAAATTCTTACAACGTTTCTCTGGTCTTACAGTTAATCGCCCCATTTTAAATTAAAATTTCAAAAATCATGCGAACAATTATAAATTTATTATTAAATAGTAAGATACTATTGGTGTACCATATTATTATTAAATCAATATTAGAAAAAACCTTTTGATTAATTTGATATTAATTGCTAAAAATCTTAATGTGGCTACTATATAAGTGATATTTATTCATTTCTACTATTCTTGATCAAAATTCAGTAAGATCTTTTTTAATAAGTTATTAATTTTTTTTTCATAACAAATAAAGGATTTTTTCATAAGTACTGTTTGGATGAAATAAAATGGTACACTTTTTAAATTATTGTTCTTAATTATCCTTAAAATGAAAGCATTAAATGAAGAAAAAAAAGTTTTTTTTTTGTTGTTGCGTGCAAACCATTTATACGCATTTAATTAAACCAGAGGTAAGGTCTTATAAAACACGGTGTATTAAAATTTGAGCCTGTTACTTTTGGGAATGCAATGTACCTTATTATTAAACATGTAAAACTTTAATCTTATTTTTAATCCTTTTACATTACGCCACTTACTTTGCAAACACGAGAGATTTTTTTTTTACAATGAAATTTAATGACAATGCTGACTAAATTCGAGATTCTATCTTTCCTTTCGAATGCAGGCTTATAAATCTATAAAAAAGTAATAATAAATGAATCGAACAGCAATCAGAAAATGAATAATACAGAAAATACCCTCCCCCCCCCAAAAAAAAGAAAGAAAGAAATTGAAGAAAAAATATATTCGTCATAATCCTCCTTCACTCTGCAGATTATCAGAGCATTTTTCAACTCAGAATTATCACAGTGTCAGAATATTTCTTTTCGTATCAGATTTGGAAAAGAAAAAAAAGAAAAAAGCTTAGAGAAATCAATTTGCTTCAAGTCCTTAACAAAATTTATTAGAAAATAGGCAGATATGCAAACGAGATATGATGACTTTCGAAATTTTCAACTAGGTGACTTTAATTAGCTGGAATTTCTAAAAATAAAGATTTTANAAAAAAAAAAAAAAAAAAAAAAAAAAAAAAAAACTTAGAGAAATCAATTTGCTATTTGTCTCAAGTCCTTAACAAAGTTTATTAGAAAATAGGCAGATATGCAAACGAAATATGACTTTCGAAATTTTCAACTAGGTGACTTTAATTAGCTGGAATTTCTAAAAATAAAGATTTTAAATGACAAGAAAAATTTTAAAAATAAATGATTAATTTCCGAAAACTTCAGTTGCTTGCTTGTAGACTGTATAGGGACGTATACCGTTTTCTTACTGGCATACATAAATTTAAAATAGTATATGAAATTTTAATGAAAATGACAAATTTATAACAACAGTTTGCTTTTTTTTCCATACAATTTTCATTTATTTTTTATGTTATAATTTTACTGTACACATGTTAAGTTAAGCCTAATTTTTATAATAATAGTCTCAATCTGACTGTGTTAGGGTTGCAAACGGATTTAAATTTATGAAGATTGTGCTGCAGATTCCTCTGCAAATCTTGTTACCGGGGACATAGTAACGAAATATATTAATTGACTCACTCTTTTAAATGACATTGCTAGCTGTATTTAAGATCCTCTCTTTCATTTTTAACGTAGGTCTATAAATCTATCAAAAGAAAAATAAAATGTGAAAGGGAAATAATGATCAAGAAACGAAATGCTACATATATTTCCTTAATCAGAACATTTTCTTTTAGACCTGTTAAACAAAAAAAGAGAAAAAAGTAAAAAATAATGAATGAATAAATAAAAAACTAAATTGACGAAAAGTAACGATAGTAAAAAAACGGTCATAAGTAGAGCCCGGATTTTGATGACCTAAAAAATCTCAATTAATGCCCTTAAAAAGTGCAAAAAATGCCCTTATGAACTGCAAAAAATGCCCTTAAAAGTGCAAAAAATGCCCTTAAAATGCGAAAATTGCGCTAAAAATGCCTTATGACATNCAACATAGGCTTTATATAGAATTGTCAGATTCACCCGATATTTTATGTTCATTTTTCAATCAACATAGGCTTTATATAGAATTGTCAGATTCACCCGATATTTTATGTTCATTTTTCAATCAACATAGGCTTTATATAGAATTGTCAGATTCACCCGATATTTTATGTTCATTTTTCAATCAACATAGGCTTTATATAGAATTGTCAGATTCACCCGATATTTTATGTTCATTTTTCAATCAACATAGGCTTTATATAGAATTGTCAGATTCACCCGATATTTTATATTCATTATTCAGTCAACATAGGCCCTGTATAGAATTGTCAGATTCACCCGATATTTTATATTCATTATTCAGTCAACATAGGCCCTATATAGAATTGTCAGATGCACCCGATATTTTACATTCATTATTCAGTCAACATAGGCCCTATATTGGCCATATAAAGGACCAATATTAAAAAATCTAGGCATCCCACTATTGGTCCCACTGTGCATGTTCTTACAGGACCCATATTTAGCCAATTTCGATCCCTACTGGGGCCAAGGTAAAATTGTTGCTAGGGGATTATTGAATAGAAAAGGGTAATAATCAATAATAAGCGAGTTGTAGAAAATACATCCCTCTAAACATAAGACCTGTGAAGCAAAGGTTTTAAAAAGTTTAATAAGATTAAGGTTGTAAAAGGATTAAAATTTCAAAAGAGACGGCAAATCGAAATGTCTTTTGAGATCTTTCAGTATTCCATAACGTCGCTTGCTGTGGAGGAAAGTGTAAGACTCAGTAAGAGGATTATATTTGCAGCTAAAATTGTGAATTCTTTTGATGTATCCTTTCAGTTTTTTACTCTAACATCCTACCCGCTCGCGTCGGAAACAGCTTTAATGTCATTTATCTGTTAAATATTTAAAAAAAATTACATATATATTTTTAACACATTGTTTAAATGTAATTATTTTTCAACCATATTGTTTATTAATTTTTTAATTACAATAGTTTTTATTAATTATTTTTATTTATTTTAAAGGAAATTATTATTTTTAACTATAATTAATTATAACGTAATTATATTGTTAATAATGTTTAATATTTTTTGCTTAATGTTGCCGATTATTCAAGGCAAAACGGAAAAAAAATTGGAACTTTTTATCGAGTGAAATAATGACTCGAGGTTCACTTTTTTTTTAATATTTTTAATTTCGTAAAATGTGTATTAACAGAAAGCGCTTTCTTTTAAGAGGTGTCACACACATGGTAACATAGTATTACTGATTAAAAACTTCATTCGCTTCAAAAATATAAAAATTGAAAATAACAGTTGACATGTTCCAAGCGCTCAAAAACAGACGCCCATTCTTAAGATTTTCCAGACGTGAATGAGAAGAACCAAAAAATAATTTGAAACATAAAACGTAAAGTTGCAACGAAAGTAATTGAAGTCTTTAATCAGGTAATATTTTACCGTTTCAGTTTCCTGTGATTATTTATTTAAGGGTAGCATGATCATTTAAATCGGAAGCACATAAAATGTATGGAAATTTTCCATCTGCCGATTCGAAGCTCTGTCTGAAATTAAAATAAATAAATAAAAATGTTAATGGCAAGATTACTTTGAATTTTAAAAAAAATGGACTTTATCAAAAGAAAACTAGAAAGGATCACACTTTAAAGACTTTGCTGAAGAAATATTAAGAACATATTAACCTGAACCACAAGTTCATCCGAAAATGACGTGCTTTCACAATAACAAGTGAAGTAACATTATGACTTCTGTCAGACATTTTTAAAAATGTTGTTTTAAGATATTTGCAATCTAAGTTCCGCAAGGAAATGCTGCAACTCTTACACAGTGACTAAATCATTGAGTTCTTTTAAGAGGGACCTTTTTTCTTATTACAAGGTAGACAATTATCAGACTATATTTCAAAGTAGACAATATTTCAAAGTAGACATATTATGCCAACATGTTTTACTTTTAAAATCAAAATACTAAAAAAAAAGAGTTTCACGGAAAAAGGCAGTAATAGTTTTTTAAAGTTCAAGAGTGAATTTCTGTATTTAATTAGGTTTGAAAAAAATTTCGTTTTCTGTAATGAATTATAACTCCCTTTGGGG